AAAAGAGGACATAGCATGGTGTTCTTTTTTATCCTCTTTTTATCCTCATGTTGGTATTTCTTTTTTCTTTTATGKGTAGCACCTCCTTATGATGTTTTTTCATGATGATGATTCTTGATCTGTGCAGGGGTCAATGGACCAGTGAGGATTGTGTTTTTGTTGTTCTGTGTTTACTCTGTGTCTCCACCCTTCAGTTCTCCTCAGCTTATTTCCTTGTCATTTCTCAGCCAACCATCCTCACCTGTCTTCAATCCCCAATCAGTTCTCCCTCCAGGTGTTTGTAATTCTCGTCTGTTTAAATGCTGGTCTTGTCCTCCACATACTCACTGGTTCATTGTTTGGCATGTCTGACAGTTACAGTCCCCTTGTCCTTCTTCGTGTTTCTTGTTTTTGCTGCCACGACAGCTTTAACTTTATTTTTATAATAAATATTCTTATTTTTCAAAACTCTCACATCTGCCTGAATTTGGGTTCATTCCTCCGCGCCACCATAACAGAATGAACCAGTTAATGTCAGAACCCATGGCGAGATAGAGTTTTTTCAAATTTATGGAGGAGAATAGTTTTTTGGCTCCATCCAGCGAGTGGGGTTCATCTTGGAGGGCGGTGAGGACTCAGCAGGTCCCGCAGTCTACAACCATTCCAGTGGGTGGTTGTCAAATGACACCTGCTCAGCCTGCCTGGAGGCGTGAGCGCCAGGACCTAAAGATCGAGGTCCTCCCATCGCCTCATCTTTTGGAGGAAGAAGAGAGGTCAAGGACTCAGTTCTGGGGGACTTGCCTGGCGCTGAAGCCCAATCCTGCATCCGGCTCTTCTCAGTGCAACCGTTGCTGGCAGAGAAAGGCGGTGGCCCCTCCTGAGCCTGAGTTTGATCCGGACTACGATCCCGAGTATGATCCCAACGGCCCCGAGTACTTCGGCTACTGCTCTGCCGGGCCAATGATTTTCCCCTCTCCAGTTCTGCCTCCATTTCTCCCACCAGCATCTCCTCCGAGACGGTCCCGAACATCGCCTCCTCCAGTACCACCTCCGAGAGCGCTACTGAGACCTTCAGCCTCCAACGCCTCCGAGAAAATCGATGCCTCAATCTCCTGCGCTCTTTGTGCCTCTGAGAGGATCAATGTTTCCACCACTATCTGCGCTCCAGCGAGGCTTGATGCTTATACCTCCATCTGCACTCCCCAGATGGTCGACACCTCTACAGCTCCTTGTACTCTCCTGAGGGTCGATGCGTCCTCCTCCTGTGAGGAGGGTCTTGAGAGGAGGGAGGGAGGTGGTGGTGGTCACCACCCTGGCTGCTGTGGCAGTGTTCATCATGGCTGCTCTTGTGGAGATGCTGTCCATGCCTGCTGCAGTACCTGAGTTCTCAGAGCCAGAGTCTACACCAGAACTCACTGAGCCAGAGTCTGAACAAAACTACTCAGAGCCTGAACCAGCATCAGAGCCTACAAAGCTCCCGGGTCTGATGGTTAATTCCCCAGGTCTGCCTGAGGCTCTCATGGTCTCCATGCCAGTCTCTGCTTCAGAGTCCACTCTGGTC